GAACCTAGTGGCTCTTGAAGGGACTTGCCCTGTTCTTTCAATGAAACATTAGAGAGGTCCTTACTTCGGAACACACTCTCTTTTTTTGTATGATTCTGAATTCTGCCACTGTGGTGATATTTGGGCTTTGGAGGTGGGGAGGCTTAATCCCTGTTGGTCTAGATTTTTTCTTATTAATTTATATGTGTCTGTCTTAAAAACCTTAAAAAAGTAAAGTTGTTTTTTTTTTTCTGTTTAGGATATTAGTTCAGATTCAAATGCAGAAAAACTTGCACTGAAATACTGTCCTCAAGTTGTTTTAAGTAATTACTCATTATTTACATTACTGAATAATCATGGATTAAACTACAAGGAACAGTGGGAAATTCCAGTTTGTATTAAAATGATCCCTGTTGAAGGTATAGTATATTTTGTTACTGAAATTACCCCCTTTTTTTTTTCCCCATAAAGACCTTTGTATATTCATAATCCTTTTTCAGCTGACTGAAGAACAGGAAATTAGAAAATCCAGTAAAACCAACTGCAGGAAGGTAGAAGGTAGTCTGGTTTAGTTCACACAATAATAAAATAGTTCAATTTTGGTTTTATTTTAAAAAGAAAGAAACTAAAGTTAAGGAAAATTGTAATTGTAATCATAAGCTCAGATTTTTACATTTTTCTGAAGAAGCAGCACTCTAGAATGGAGCTCTAAGAAAAAAGTAATAGTTTATTTTAAATACTTCCATATTTTTAATTTAAGCAATCAAGCATTGTAATAAAATTTTACTTATTTAGTTTATGCATGTTAAAGAACAAAAACTTGAAGTTAATAGTTTTCACCTGTCATTTGATAAGGCATCAGGGACCTCTGTAGTTTAAAGAAAAATATTTAGTTTAATCAAAGTTATCATAAAAAATAACTTTAAAAATCCATTGCTGTAGTTTTCAAGGAGGAAAGCTGATAGCAAGGTCATTTCATAGTTTTTTACACCTTGTTCCATCTTGTTACTGAGAATAGTAATAATCTCTAGAGGTGTCACCATTAACATTGAATTTGGACATACAGCATTTTCCACTCAGGAAAAAAAAATCTGTTAGATGTCCTTTTGCTTTTCAAAAGTGTAAGCTCTGCTCCTTGGAAAGAGAACAATTGCATGAAGCTATTAAAATTATCAAGTGAACTGATTTCAGTAAGCTAAAAAAGACATCTGAAGTTTTATGAAAAATCTATGAGCAAACATTTTCTGGAATGGATATTTACATCATAATTAGTGTTCACAGAGAACACTTTTTCAATATGCAACAAAAAAATGCTTTGAATAAACTGATGAACTCATCTGAATGCTGTACTTTAGTTGTATATAGATTTCTTCTTGTTACACGTATCTGACAACTGCAATATCTTACAGTTTTGCACTTTGCTAAATTCAATTACTTTATCTGTAAAGTAATTGAATTGAACCTGACTCCTTTTGTATCACCTTTACAGTTTTTAAATTTAATTTTAGATCCAAAGTTAACACCTAAAGGGCATTCAGAATATGTCAGCTCTAGATACTATTTCTTGAAGGGTTTCTTCTCTCCTTCCACCTTCCCTGTAACCCACCTTGTTGCATGAATGGTATTTTTTTAATCCACAGATATTTTTTATTTTCTGAAACAGTGAGTTCACCATGTGCCTTTGCTCTCTGTATGATACTGGGCAGGGTACCACTGCTACATTTATTTCATGTGCAACTGTATTAAGATGTAAACAAAAGAGTGGAGCAACAAAGCCTGGTCTAAAACTTGAAAACATGAAATGGATTTGACCATAACTGGGGGGCAAAAGATGTATCATTTAAACTATATAACAATCCTTTTTTCTTTAATTTTATATGTAATCAATCTCTTTTCATTCTTGAAAAGGTGGCAAGCTAGCTAAAGTGGTTTATGTTGATTCACCCCTGCTGAGAAAAGAAATGACAGTAAGAGAAAGGAACCAGCTATTCCATGAAATTCCAATGGACTTCCTAGCAACTAAAACATCTTATGTTTCCGTGTCTGAAGTACCAATGGACAAACCAGCTGAAGACAACCTATTTCAGTGGGATGTATGTAGCCTCAGACTTTCTTAAAAACAAACTAACCCAAAAATAACTCACTTGTTCAGTGATAATGAAGGAGAATTTAGGTATTCTGTTGGTAATCTCTCAACTGCTGAGTTAATGGATCCTGTGTTTTAAAATGTCTGTCTAGTTCCTCTAAATGCCTCTGTTGCTTTTCAACTTTAATGTTTACTTCATTAAAATGCATTTCAATTTTACAGTCTCTCATTTGTCATTAACTTACTCTGCTTCTTGGTTTGGTGTTGGTTGGTTTTAATTTATTTTTTTTCTTCCCTATGTTAAGATGTCTTCTGATACCTACCAGCACCGAAAGATTCCTCTCCCAGATGACACAGGGATGGACTTTGATGATGATGTTACAGAACTGGAAACTTTTGGAGCAACTGCCAAGCTCTCAAGGACTTCTAAAGCAGAAAGTACTTTTCCTGCAGTTAGTAATACTGCTAAAGTTGTATCACATGGCGTAAAAATGGGGAAAAAAAATACATCCACCATTAACAGTACAAATGAAGAAGAGAAAAAATCCATTTTTGAGCAAGGGGATTTAGCATGTGCCAGTATGCAGCTTCCATCATTAGATCACCTTCTCTGTGTCAGCTCTGAAGAACATTTGTCTCATAAAAACTTTAATTCAGAAGAGGCAGGAGTGAAAAAAGCACATGTCATAACCAAAGAACTATCAGACAATGAGACAAAATTAAATATTTTGTCTAATGCTGTTAGTGACAATAAAGAGTCTGACGCTGCACAAAAAAATGAGATTTATGCTTCATTATGCAGTAGTGACACAGATGAAGAACGTTTGATAATTGATACAGAATGTGAAAAACGTGATATTTGCAAACCAGCTGTACCAAATATACCTCATACCTCAGCAGAGACTACCAAATCACCTTCCCCCACCCAGATTCCACTAGCAAGCGTTACTGATTGCTCATCTACCATGGATCAGGAAAAAAATGCCTCTAGAAAGCCTACAAGAAAGTTATCCAAAGAATTTGATCCTGTTGGACAGATTTTGAAAATGCAAACTGAACTTCTCAAGTCACCTTCCCAAAAATCACATGAGCAGCCAGCAGTGAGCTGTGATAATTCCAGTGTTGCACCAGCCCAGGTGCCTCAGTCTCCAAAACAGTTTCTCACTCCCAGCACAGAAATTGTGCCAGGCCCTGCCCCAAACACCAGCGTCTCATCTAGAAACACCTGGACTTGGCTTTTTCAGGGAGTGCCAAAGAGTAAGTGTGTTCATTCTGTAAGAAGTCAACTTTCGAGTTTTCAGTAAAATTTATCAGAAAAACATTTCTTTTTAATCTGAAGGACATCCTAGTAATATATTTAGGGATGTGACTTAATTTATTACTATTTTTAACAATGCCTTCACTTTTGAGAGCTACTGTCCTGTACATGTAAGGGAGTATTTTGAGAGCTGTTTGTCCACAGGGATGAGTGTGAAATACTGTTTTACTTTAGAGAAACAAAAAGTTGTTACATACAGGCTTTTAAGCAAGGAAAAGAAACCTTTTGGTAATGAAATTAGTTGTCTCACACAGTATATGTTTATTTAAAGATGTGCATAAATGTTACATGTATTTATTCATAGCACTACAGCAATACCTACCTGTACTTCTAGTTTTGACAGACATTTCCACTTATCTGCTGGACAAAAACCAGGATGGGCAAATTTTCAATAAATGTCTGAAACAGGTTGGAGTTTATTCCTGTTTAGTTTAAATGTTTTATTAAAGTATCTCTAAGGGATGCAGGGATATTTGTTAGCCTACCTCTAACTGCACTTTTTGAGATCTAAATAAATTGAATGTTTCTTTGAATTTTCTAGTACTGGAATTGAAGTAAACTCACTTTGGAAAAGAGACTTATGCTACCTTAAATGGGTGATGGCTCTCAGGAGTTGGTCACTGTAAATAAATTTTCTGTCTCCTTTGTGCCTAGTGATTGTGCCTTAAAACCAGCCTTTGAACAAGAACAGAATCTCACAGCTCTGTGTAAGAAATAAAATTATTAGAATAAAATATGTGGGATATTTTTAAATTATTGTTCTAAAAGTGATAGTGGATTTTTTAAATTTAAGGGCTTCCTTTATGCTTAAGTAACTTCTTGTGCCTAATGAGATTATTTTCACTCCAAAATTTTGGGAAACAAAACAGGTTGTATTAAAAAAATAAATTCAAAAATCTACTGCAAGAGAAAAGAACTAGTTAGCATTATGTTAAAGAACGTGTAAGCTTGTAATTTTCTGTTTATTTATTTTCTATAGAGAAGCTGCCCAGTGAACTTCAGATGCTTGAAGAAGACCCTTCAGATTATGAAGCACCTCAGGATAGCAACCTCGTGTATAAGCTATTCAGTCTGAATGATCTGTTGTTACTTGTGCGTTGCAGTGTGCAAAAAGTGAAGTCATGGCCACCATACCTTAAAAAGAAAAAAGCTAAGAAGGTAAAGATTTTGCTGTTAGCTCTTTTGGTTTGGTTTTGTTGGGGTTTTTTTAACAGTTACGCTCAACTGAGATTCCCAGTCGTTCACAGCATTAGTGTTTTCAGTCAAACAATTAGTACTTTTATTTGTAACTCTACAGTGTGTGTCGTCTTGAAGTATTTGCTGTAGGAAGAGTGAAGCATAACTTGTGATTTCTTTAAACCTACTTGAGCAGAACATAAGCGAGTGTGATTTCTGCATTTCTTGCTACAGCTGCATATTACAGTAATATGCATGGTTATTTATACTCATGTAAACCAATGTAAATTTGAACTATTCTTAAGAGTGAATGCAGTAATTAGGTTTTTGGCCAAGGCTCTGAGAATCTTCATGTTCATAAATACTTTCAAGCAGCATTCAGCCTTACTATTATGCCTAGTTAAGCAGAGAAACAGGAGAGAGAATGGACAGCAGAGCACACATTCAAAGATAAAAAGATTTTATCAATTCTGCTTGATAAGATTATGGTACACATCTTAGCAAATCTTCTGTCTTACGGAGTAAATTGCTTTAAGGGCAAGTGTAATTCAAGTATTTCTTGTAACATCAGGAGAAGGAAAACCTACTCTGGAGTCCTCAGTAATTTATTATTTTGTCAAGAGTCCTCTTAACCATTCAAAAAATTTGGTGTAGTATCTCCCTCCCTAGAATACCAGAATTATGGTAGGCAGACATTCTGGCACGTGCTCATGCATTGTTGAAATGGAAATAGATCTTTGTAACTGATGACTTGCTAAGAGTCCATGCTCAGAATCTTATTTTGAGGAAATACTCTCTCTTTGCTATTGATCTACTGCTTATAAATGCCTATGAATACCTGCTTAGTTTGTTTATCAGAGGCTGAGCACTGTTGTTTATTTTTTTTTAATTCCTGCT